CGTCTGTTAACAGTATGTTAAATTGTATAGTTTAATACTGTTTCATCCACTAGTTTATGGGTAAAATCTTTGCCATGTGAGACTTTAATAATTCATGAAATTATATTTAAAACCCACAGTGCACTTCAAAAACCATTTCAGAACACCAAACAAGTCCCCAAACAGTGCCCAAAAGTCCAGATTTCACGAAAACAAGGGAGTCTGCTCTTAAACTCGCAGAGCAGGCTCCAAACAAACATTGAGCAAGCTCAATTAAAAAAAAAAGAGCCGGCTCCAAACACTTTGAGTAGGCTCCATTAAAAAAAAGAGCCGGTTCCAAACACATTAAGCAGGCTCACTTAAAAAAAAAAGAGCAGGCTCAATCTTAAAAAAAACCTGAACCTTCTCCGGTTTTCTTCTTCATCTCCGGCCACTCTCAACCTATCTGTTTGGTTTTACAACAGTTCCTAAGAGTCCTAACTATGTCCAGTATAATCCCCATGGTGTGTTTACAGCAATTAAAATCAAATACAGAAACTGCAAGTTCTACATACTTTTCATGCTTTAAGAAACACACTGATATCAAATACGCACGGACTGTAATTAATCAGATTTTAACCCATAAAGATCATCAATATAACATCTATTATACATGTGAAACTCAGTTAATGATTAATTAAACCCTAGAGACCATTTAGATGCACAGAACACAAGCCAAAGGGAAGGAGTAAGGAAAGAACTTGCCTGTGATTTCAGTTATGAAATCCCGGCGTCGTGTCCACTGTTCTGGTAACACTGAGTTACTGTCTAGCCTCATCTTACTTCTGCTCTTCCTTTCTCCTAGGTCTGACCTTGAAGCCCCAGCCGGAAACCGCACAAACTTGTTCTGTTTCTCTTAAAACCTCACTCTGTATCACACTGTGTTTTGAGACGTGAATAGGGTTTTCGAACCCTTCTTTCAGGCTATAAACATATATATATATAGGCATAGATAAAACCCTAATTATAATGTTAATCTGAGATAAAAACCCTAACCTAAATAAAACCCTAATCGGCCCATAGGTTGAAATGACTGTATTAACGTAATTTAAATACTCATTTAACTTAATTAAATAAGTAAAAACCCAACAATAAATTAAACCATTACCACCAATCAATTAAATCAAGGAATGCAATTAAATTAAATAATCAAACAACAACCACAATTTAAAGAAAACAATTCATTTAACTAAAACAACTAATTAAACAATTTGACACCTAAGCACATAGAATCAAATTTAAATTTCAATTTTATCCTTTTGAAAATTAGGGTATTATAGAGAGAGCCGGCTCCATGGAAGAGGGAGTCGGCTCTAGTTGTTAGAGAGCTCCCACCCCTCTAGAGCGGGCTCCAAGGTGCATGGAGCCGGCTCTATGCTTAGACAGAGCTTGATCTGTGGTTTTGAGAGCAGACTCTCCTATATACTTGAAATCTGGACTTTTCTGGGCACCGTTTGGACGAGTTTGGTATTCTGGATTGTTTAGGGGACTGTACTAAGGGTTCTTAATGTAATTTCATGGAATTTTAAAACCTCATATTGCATAATTTACACCGTTATGCTAATGGAATGAACAATATGAAAGTAATCAATCTTTGCATGCTGTTAACAGATTGAAAGGATTAAATTGTGTATTTTTGTTTTAACAATTTAATGGACTGTAACATGGACTCTAAACATGCTATTAGGCCGTAGTAGAACCCACACGGTTGAATTAATACTTTTATGCTAATGGATTTAACAGTAGGGAAGTTTAAACAATCTTGCACGCTGTTAACGGATAGGAATGATTAAATTGTTTAATTTTGTTTTAACAATTTAACGGACTGCAGTATGATTTATGAATCTTGTTTTGGATGCATAATAGGGTCATTTAATTATCAGACTTGATTTATGCTTACTCTGGATTTTAATTGTTGAGATATTGAACTCTGTTCTGCAATTACGTGGATAAATGTTTTGGATTCTAATTGCTGAATTATTAAACTTTGTTCTGTCAATTACATGGATTACTGTTGTGGATTTTAATTGCTGAACTACTATATTATGTTCTGTAATTACATAGATGTTATGGATTGTATGCACCGGTATGTGACGGTGGCATACTAGGGATGGTTTAGCTCAAAATACTAATTCCCACCTCTTATGGATTTTAATTGGTGAATTGTTTTACCGGTTCTATCAATTATATGGATTTTGTGGATTATATGCACCGGTATAGGACAGTGACATATTAGGTTTGGATTAGATCAAAATACTAACTCCTACCTATTCTGGATTTAGGAAATGAATTTAATATTAACATTTAAATCCTAATTAAATGTTGTGTCTTGGCAACAAACAGTTGAGCGGCACTTCATTGGTTTTAAATGGAATTTATATATATATTTATGGTACCACGATATGAGCTTGAGTCTCAGGATCATTGGTCAGGGAGCTTATATGCAATGGGATGCATAGCTGGTTATAATGGTTAAGGTATACCCTGTTAGGTCTAGGTACTCATGCCCACCTTTGGGTGTGTTTTTGCATGTTGCCTTCTATTCAGATTGAGACCCCCATTGTAGTCCAGTAAGAGTCCTTTAGTGTGGATATATATATGTATGGACTAGATATATATTGTTGAGATATTTAGATGTATCTGCGTATCGGATCTCTGTTTGGATTGTCATTAGAATATAACTTGTTCGTGGGCCTGACCCACTATTATTTTTCAGGTATCGGACGGTTCCAGTCTTAGAGCTTGTTTGTACTGAGCAGAAACGGTCACTCATTCTTCCGACTGCGTAGGACTGCTATTTATATTTCATTTTGGATTGCCCTTTTAGTTTAGTGTATCTTCAGTTGGGTTTTGAATAGGGGTCCACTAGATGGATTCCCGAGTTGTATTTGTATTGGATGTACCAGAATAATTTTTATATATAAAATTTATTTTGAGGTTTTCATTATTGGATTATCATTTTAGTTTTCTTTCAGCAATTTTTATTTATTCCTATTTATCATAATTGTATTCTGTGTTTGTTTATTGCCATTTGTTTTAATATCCTCGGGTGTTCAGGTGTGAGCCTGGCCAACCCGCATCTGAAAATCCGGGGGTATCACAGTAGATCCCTTAGAAGGCAAATGGAAAACATGATAACCAGAGGTGAGTTAGTAGATTACCTCGCAACAAAAGAGTACGTGAAGCCTAGGGATGTCAATCCTCGGAAAGTAGAGGGCAACCAAGTAAAAGTCATTCATACGATACATGGGAGATCAAAGGACGACCAAGAGTCAGAAAAAGTGTACCAATCTAGATTAAGGGCAGCCCACAGGCTAAGGAAGTTATCATCGGTAAACACTATCGCTTTGGGTATTATCAGTATTGGGTTCGGCGATGGAGATTTATCCAGAGTTCAACTTCCCCATAAGAATGCACTAGTCATTAGTCTTCTAGTGGTAAATTGCATGATCAAAAGAGTTTTGGTAGACCCTAGTAGCAGCGCCAATATCATCACAAAGGCAGTCTTTGAGCAACTAGGGCCATCATCATCAATTCGGCCCACCTCTAGTCCTTTGATGGGATTCGATGGCACAAAGGTGGACCCTTGCGGCGAAAAAGACATTAAAAGAAAACTTTGTTCTGACATAAATCCATCCTTTCTATAATCTTATTATGGGAAGAGGTTGGATCCACCGAATGAATGGGTCCCGTCTACCCCTTCATCAGGTGATGCGATGCTTGTCTCCGGACGGTAAATAGGTTATTAATCTTTAGGGAGATCAGGTCGCTACCAAAAAATGTTACATGCTGACATTGAATGAGGCAAAGAATAGGATCAAGCAGTCCCAGCCAGATGTGACCCCTGAAAGTATTTCCAAATAGCAATTACAGAGCCCTCTGCCTAAGTATTTAAAAGCAGAGGAGGAAGTCGATGCTACAAAACCTACCGAGAAGTCTCTCGAAACCGTCGAAGTTGTCCTTGGCAAACCTCAAAAAATCACTTATATGGGCTCTTCCCCCACAGCTGAAGAGAAGCAAAGGTTAATTGATGTCATCCGACGAAATGCAAATGCGTTTGCCTTGGATCATTCGGACATGCTTGGGATCAGCCCTTCGATCTCATGCCATAGCCTAAAGGTGGATCCGGCATTTAAATCGGTTAAGCAAAGACACAAAAGGTTCGCTTTTGAGCGCAATCGAATCATTGCTGAAGAGGTAAGCAAGTTGCTTCAAGCAGGGTTTCATCCAAGAAGTGCATTACCTATAATGGATCTCGAACGTGGTGGTAGTTCAAAAGAAGAATGGAAAATGGAGAGTTTACATAGATTTTACCAATCTCAACAAGGCTTGCCCTAAGAATAGCTTTCCACTACCCAAGATAGATCTGATGGTTGATGCTACCACTGGTTATGAGAGACTCACGTTTCTCAATACGTATTCCGGATATAATCAAATCCCTATGAATCCAGAGGATGAAGAAAAACTGCCTTCATTACAAAGAAGGGCACTTACTGTTATAGAGTCATGCCTTTCGGGCTTAAGAATGCTGGGGCAACTTACCAACGTCTCGTTAATAAGATCTTCGACGAGATGATGGGAAAACGGTTAAAGCATACATTGATGACATAGTGGTTAAAAGTGTGAAGAAAGAGGATCATCCCAAGCACCTCTAGGAAGTCTTTGACACTTTGAGAAAATATAATATGAAGCTGATTCCTTCCAAGTGTTCTTTTACGGTCTCTTCAAGGCAATTTCTCGGCCATATTGTCAACAAAAGAAAAATAGAAGGAAGCCCGGCTTAGGCTCAGGCCCTCATACAGAATCAGGAACTAAAAACTCACAAGGAAGTACAGGTTCTAACTGGCCGAATTGCAGCTCTTAGCTGCTTCATATCTCAATTATTAGATAAGTGTAAGCCATTTTTCGATGCCATATGATAAAAGAACAAGGATTTATGGGGATCACAACAGTAGGAAACACTCAATCGGTTAAAGTATTACATGGCTAAAGCACCAATTTTGTCTGCTCCGAAGCCTGGTGAAGTCCTCATCATGTACTTAGCAATCTCCAGTATAGTTACTAGTGCCGTACTAATCCAAGAAGAAGGAAAAAATCACTATTCGATCTTTTACACGTGTAAGACAATGACAGATGCTGAAACAAGATATAACAAAGTAGAAAAGATCATACAAGCCTTGGTGCATGCAAAGAGAAAGCTTCGGCACTATTTCGAGTCGTATAACATCGTGGTCCTTACCAACTATCCCATGCGAGCTATTCTTTCCAAGCTAGATTTATCTGGAAGAATTACTAAGTGGGCAATTGAACTCAGCTCCTTCGATATAACATATGAACCAAAGGTGTCACACAAAGGACAGACGCTAGCCAATTTTCTCTTAGAATATGAAGATAAACTCGAAGAGCCTGAGCTTCCTGAGCTACATTGGGAGCTTCGAGTAGATGGCTCCTCGAATCTAACCAGTGCAGGGGCTGGAATCATTATTACAACCCTTGAAGGAACCAAGTTGCAGCAGTCAATCCATTTGAATTTTCCTGCTACTAACAATAAAGCCGAGTATAAGGCCTTGCTTGACGGGCTTCGATTGGCAAACCAGCTCCAGGTAAAGTGTCTAAAGGTTTTTAGTGACTCTCAACTTGTTGTGAATCAGGTGATAGGCAAGTATCAGCCTAAAGAAGAAAGAATGAAAACATACAAGGAGGCTGTAGAGAGTGCTACACGTAGATTTGACCAAATTAAATTCCACCAAGTACCTCAAGAAGAAAACTCCGAAGCGGATGAACTGGCCATAGCGGCATCTTCCTCAGACGAAGATTTGGTCCACATAGTGCCAATTGACATTCTGAACGAACTTAGTATAAATCCTCGGCAGGAGATAATGGTGATCCCGGATATTCCACGAGAACCATGCTGGATGGACCCACTAGAAGCTTACCTCAAGTACGGAACTTTTTCGAACCAGAAAGCCGAGAAAAAGAAAGTAAGGTTCGCCGCAACCAAATACTTTATTATTAATAATCAACTTTATAGGAAAATCATTCTTAGGTCCTTACCTGAAGTGCTTAAGCCCCAATGAGGCCCTTACAGTATTAAAACAAATTCATGACGGAGATTGTGGCAACCACTCCGCCGGCAGATCCCTCGCACATAAGGTTCTAACTCAAGGCTACTTCTGACCATACCTGGCTCGGAACGCTGAAGAATATGCCAGGAGATGCGATAAGTGCCAGCGACATAGCGCAATGAAGCATCAGCCTTCTAAAGATTTACACGCAATGGCAAATCCATGGCCATTTGCGCAGTGGGGGATCGATATGGTCGGACCTTTACCTAAAGCTGTGGAGCAAAAGGAATACGTGTTACAAGCCACGGATTACTTCACAAAGTGGGTAGAGGCAGAGGCTTACTAAAGCGTAACCCATGAGTAAGTAAAGAGTTTTTTATGGAACAATATAATATGCCGATTCGGAGTGCCGAAGGTTATCATGATGGACAACGGTAAGAACTTGGACAACAGAAGTACAAGAAAGTTCTTTGCTAAACATGGAATTAAGCAAAAGTTGGCCGCGGTTAGTCATCCATAAGGGAATGCGCAGGCTGAAATAACTGACCAAACTATCTTTAACTGTCTGAAGAAAAAGTGGAGCAGCTCAAATCAAAGTGATACGAGAATCTACCAAAGGTACTCTGGGCATACCGAACCACCCCACGACGGCCAACAGGGAAAACCCCTTTGCAATGGCCTATGGGTCTGAAGCTGTTATCCCCACAGAATCGGCAATTCCAACTCTTCAGACACATTTGCTGCTCGAAAGAAACAATGATAAACAGTTAGAGCATAGCCTTGACCTCTTAGAGGAAAAGAGGGATGCTGCAGCAATTCGGCTCGCTTCATACCAACAACAGTTGCGTAACAGTTATAACAAGCGAGTCAAGTTTAGAAGAGAAACAGCACATGTGAAGAAATTGCAACCCAATTGGACCGAACCCTACAAAATTACAGAGGTGGTAGGGAAAGGAGCTTACCGGTTAGCTAAAGCTGATGGGCAAATAATTGCACGCCATGGAATGCAATACACCTTAAAAGGTATTATTATTAAGAAATTTGGTTTTTCTTTCTATCTTTCATGATGCAAATAAGGCTGCTTATGGCCCATTTAATAAAATTACTTTTTACATTTTATATTAAAAGTATGTGGTAACCCAAGTGATAGAGAGCATGCAATTTCTTATCTTTACATCATAAGATTTCTAATTGACTATGTCCTCTCATCATTCACGGTCTTCACTACACTTTCAAATGGCCAATCCTCCTAAGTGCGATAGATATTTGTGGTCGCTTTTTGTACACACATATTAACACTCATGATTATTCTTTATTCATTGAAGGATGCTGGGTCACTTGCATATTGTTTGTCTTTTTCTTTCTTTTCGTAAGAGAGGGTAAGACTAGTACCCTAATAGGGGTTTACAAGGGGTTTACAAATGCACTATGTTTTTGTCTGACATCTTATTATGAAACGAAAGAGACACAAGTATTGGTTGTTTTTCATCACACTCCCAATAAGGGTTTACAAAAGCTACCGTGTCTTTGTCCCACATCGTTAAAAAGATGTATGAGTAACCCTCTTTAAATAAGGAAATATTTAAATCATATAAGCTGTTGCAAAGGGGGGCCATTGGATATTGGGGTGGCCCACGCGCTCTTTTCAAGCCCCATGTCTGTGATACCCCTCTGATCCGAGACACGGGTTGATCAGGCCTAGGCCTAAACCCGAGGGAATATCAAACAATTAATATTTATTGAACACAGAATACAAATTAAAATAATAAGAAATAAATAATAAATGGTGGAAACGAATTCTAATTGAAAATCCTCAAAATATAATTATCAAAATCCAAGCTCCAAAATAACTTCATTAAGTTAACAACTCGGGAATCCCTCAAATGGACCCCTAAAATAAAACTCAAACTGGAAAGGAAATAACTATAATCCAAATCCAAAGCTAATAAGATAGTAATAAGATAGTAGTTCTACGTAGTCGGAGGAATAGAAGTCCGTATCTGCTCTGCACGATCAAACTCTAACCCTGGAACTGACGAGCACCTGAAAAATAAAAGAGTGGGTCAGGCCCACATGCAAGTCCTGATCTACTACGATCCAAACAGGAATCCGATACGCAGATACATCCTAGATAGACTCAACAATATCTAGAGTAGTCCATATATGTATAAGTACACACTATAGGATGCTCACTAGTCCAATAGGTCTGTCTCAGCCTGAGTAGAGATACCATGCAAATCGCACATAATGTGGTTATGTGTACCTAGACCTACCAGGGAACAACACCTCTGTCCAGCTATCCATCTTAGGCGATATACGCACCCTAACCATGGTCCTGAGACTCAAGCTCATACAATGGTACCGTATTATATATATATATATATATATATATATATATATATATATATATATATAATCCGTGTCCTCCTGATACAAAATATCACCCATCTAGTATAGTGGTTTGATGTATGTATAACAATCCATCCCAGAAACCAAATTATGTCATTCAGTTATTTACTGACCTGACACTAATAGGAGTTGAACTTAACCTTTATGGTTAATCCACACCTTAATCAATGTTAGGTAGGATTTAGTGTTGAACTAATCCATAACTAGTATGCCACCGTCCCATACCGGTGCATACAGTCATCCAATCCACATAATTGATAAAAATAACATTAATTAATTTATCAACCGTTCTCCGAAATATGCATCAGTATAGTTTAATACATATATAATGACATTAGGTATTCATTATAGAACCTAAAAATCATGCTCCAATTATTTAAACTGCTAAAATAAACCATAGCGTTCAAATCCTCCAAAACAGCCGATAAATCGATACAATTATAACAATTTGAGTATCAATTAATTCCAAACTAAGTATAGTTAAATATAATTAATTCACCATACTTATAACACTGAAAAAAAATATATGATTATATATAATTAGATTATATATAAAAACCGTGCCAAGTTCCAGTAAGTAAAACCAACAAGACAGTGTGCAAGCTACCAGTTTTATCTTAGGTTTTTCTTGCACTATTCTTTAATCCAATTATGATTTTATATTTTTCCATCATAATACCAATCTTATACAGTCCCATACATCACTTAAAACAATTTAAACGAAGTGCATACGCCCAGTATAGCCCAAACAGCCCCTAAAAATCAATTCTGTAGCATTTTAGGAGAGAGCAGGCTCTTTCAAAATTTAGAGCCTGCTCTAATTCACTTAGAGCCGGCTCCAACTCTTTGGGAGCCGGCTCTAAGGGTTTTGGGAGCTTGCTCTCCCTCCCTTAACAACCGTTGTCCGTTTTCCCTTTGTCTTCTTTGACTCCGGTGATTTCCAGTCTCTAAATTCAGTTTTATTACATGTTTTAAGGTTCCATCCTCATCCCATATTAATCACAAGACAAAATTATATAACTAAGAATTGAATTAAACATCAGTTTTTTTTAAAGCAACGGCAGTAAGATTCAACACTGAACTTTTAAACAACTGAAAACCAGATTAATTCAATGCTTCTAAATACTGATTAAACATGTATAAAAGATGTAATTAAGACTTATTTTAATTCCTGGAGTCTATCTAAGCATGCACAGAACACAGATTAAAGGGATAGAATATAACAGAACTTGCATTTGAGTTTCAGTCTGAAACTCTAAACCACCGTTCTCTGAATTTTTTGTCCAACTCCCCACTGCTGTTCCACCTCTGTTGCTCTTGGTTTCACCCACGAACAACCACCCCTTCCTCTTCCTTGGTCCAACCTTGATCCAAACCAAATCCTAGTTCCCTCCTCTGCCGTTCTCTCAAAACTCTCTCTGCCTCTCTATATACTCTGTTTCACAGAATTTTGTTTATTTTTTTCTAAAACCCTAAACCACCGTATTGCTTATACTTATAGGTGAAAACAATAACCCTAATCCGTGTATAACTATAAAACTTGGCTACAATTCAGTCGGCCAATCCGTGAAACAAAAAACCCTAAATAATTAAACAGTTCACAAAACGATTTACAGTTACTAATTATTAAAACAATTAATTTAATTAATTCAAATAACACAAATAAATAAATATAATTAATTTAATAATACAAATAGTTCAAGTCATCAAATACAAATAATTCTAATTAAATAAAAAATCAATTATCATACCACAATATAAAACAATTAAGCACATAATCAAATAAAACAACATATGACCAAATAAAATGCACTTAAATAATAAATTTTAAATACCAGAAATATCCTTTTAAAATTAGGGGTATTACAATGTCCAGCGGGCATTCTTTGCAATTATTCATCTTGTTTTTTACACAAAGCCCAATATTTTGTCCTAAATCCATACCCATCTTTCTCCCACATCGAATAGAAATAAAAAGAGTATGTAGTTAATATATTCGTGGCTCACCACATCTAGCTGCCACGAAGAGAGTCTCCGTGAAAGATAGTCTTCCAAGCAAACGCATGGGAGACTTCCCAGTTACGGTTACTATTTTTTGTGGCCTCATGTCATTTTTTAATCTTCGGCCTACAGGCTTATCCGGTATACATGGTATCTTCTCCAACTCGAACTTCAGACCTCAAGAGTCCGAAGGGTACAAATCAACAATTCCTCTCAGGCACATTATCGAGGAATTACATGCTCCTAAGTGTCCGGTATAAATCAACAATTCCTCTTAGGCTCATTGCCGAGGAATTGCATACTTCGGACCCTAAGTGTCCTGTACAAATCAACAATTCATCTCAGGCTTATAGCTGAGGAATTACATGCTTCGGACCTTAAGTGTCCGGTACAAATCAACAATTCATCTCAGGCTTATAGCTGAGGAATTACATGCTTCAGACTCTAAGTGTCTGGTACAAATCAACAATTCCTCTCAGGCTCATTGTTGAGGAATTACATGCTTTGGACCATAAATGTCCAATATAATACAATTCCTCTCAGGCTCATAGCAAAGGAATTACACGCTTCGGACCCTAAGTGTCTGGAGTCATTAAAGTATT